AAAAAACCTGGAACTGCACAGTGCTGTCTGGTGAGAGGGGTTAGAATTCCTTCCTATAAGAAACAGAAAGATCATCAACGTATAAGCACACCACCATGTGTCCCTCGAGCTACTTACACCGGCGAATCTGTTCACAATCCGGCCTGTGGGTGTTGTATCAAAAAACCTCATAGGTGCGTGAAGGATATTGACCAGCAGTTGACTGTGTAACATTTTTGATGCATAGTTGCTGCCAAACACACTCCAGATACTTGCTACGAGCACAAATACAGCTAGAAATGGAAACAGTTTTATCAATACCATACACAAGAATCCTTGGAAATTTGTGCTTCGGACATAATGAAAAATGTTTTCCTGAAAACTAGAAAAAGTACAAAGTCTAGAGATTGTGTTTTCAAAAATGGCAGTCTTAGCCTTTACAAATACCTTGTGCTACTCCCAGGCCCCCATAGACTCCAATTCTCAAGTCCCTCTGAGAAGCTGGGTAGTTGGTGCTATTGTAGATAAGGGAGTCCCTGGTCCAAGCACTAAGCCAAAGGTTGGACGCAATAAAAGCCACAAAATTCATTATGAAGAAAAAGATGATGCAGAGTATTGAACACCATTTCATTGCTCGTAGGTATTTCATGTAGACGGAGAACTTCACCTGCAAAGAGCACACTGGTATTAGTAGCACACTCTGATAGCTTTTGGTGAAGAATTACCTAGAAAACCAATCACAGCGAGGAGTGGAGGCCCCCGGAAATGTGGATAATAGCAAATAGCAAGCTTCAGGGAGCTGTGACCGCTGTTTCTGAACTGGGCTAGGATAACAGATTAATGCTGAAACACCATGCACAGCAAATAGCATTACTGTTATTAAAAGAACCTGAAGATATTTAAGATAGGAAGATAACAAAACAATGTAGGATGTGGAGTTTTACTGCAGACCTGCAGACGTAGTTTTAATTAAGCTGAATTGTATGCTCTGAGCCTGATAGGTTAGCATTGCTTGGCTCCTAGAACTGCCTCTCAAGGCAGTTTTGCTGTTCTCTCTCTCTCTCTCTCTCTCTCTCTCTCTCTCTCTCTCGGAACTGGGGATTGAACTCAGGCCCTTGTGCTTGCCAGGGAAGCGCTTATTCTACTGAGCTATCTCCCCGGCCCCGAGCTATCTCCCCAGCCCTGCTGTTCGCCATACAACAGAATGGAATCAAATGCTCAAGAAGAAAGGGATCAAGATATTTGCAGGGAACATATAATTTGTCCTAGAAATATGATGTGATGAGTGTGGGCCAGATAGCTCAGTGTACTAAAGCACCTGCTTAGGCAGGCTGCAGGGACCAGGGTTTGATCCCCGTTTGTTGTGCCGTGCATCTTGGGGCATACTGAAATAGCAAATGAGGCTGGGTGTGGTGGCCCAAGCCTGTAATCCCAGCACTTGGGAAGCTGAAACAGGAGAATCACTATGAGTCCGATCTGTGCAGAGAGACCCTGTAGGCCCTGTACTAAATACATTAAAAAAAAATATGATGTTATTGAAAATCCACAGCCTCATTTATAATTTTAATGAAGATTCTAAAGATTCTTAACAAATAGAACATGCTACTCCTATAGCTATGTAATCAACTTTGACTATAAAATTTCAGAATTTAGGCTATGTGCTCAAATGTTACTTTAAAAAAAAATATTTTTAGGGAAGGGTCTACAGGGTGTTCAGGGTCTCACTACTAGATTGGACTGGTAATGATCCGCCTGTTTACAGCCTCCTAAGAGCTGGGATTACAGGCATGTACTACCACGCCCAATCTCATTCTCCATCTCAGCGCACCCTGGGGGCAGGGCTGGCACTGCAGGCCTGGGTATCAAGCCCCTAGCCCCTGCTTTAATCTGCTGAGCTATTTGGCTGCCCACCCCCCCCTTTTTTTTTAACTTAAAACATTTTAAAAATATTATTTATTTACTTATTTATCTGGTACAGGGTCTTGCAGCTCAGACTTGTAGGGATCCTCCTGTCTCAACCTCCCCAGCACTGGGATTACAGACATGCGCCACCAGCACGCACCACCATGCCAGTTTCAGTGGCCAGCATGGTATGACATGCCCAGGGTTTTGGGGCCAACATGGCATGCAGTATCAGGGATCAAACTCAGGTCCTTGCACTTGCCAGGCAGGCGCTTAGACTGCCAAGCTATGTCCCCAGCCCTCAGATCTTAGTTTCTGTATGGTGCTCACCTTTCCACTTTCCATGAATTCCTTCTTAATTAGTTTTTGTCCTTTCACTAGTTCTTCCTCTTCCTTCAGGGCATTCCCATTTCGAATTTTCAAGGAGTTTTTTAAGGACTTCTGGGGCCTGCTACTGGACCTAGAGTCAAGAGATAGAAAGGAAGAGACTTTCTTAAGCATGTTGTTGCTTCCTGCAGACTTCTTAAGCATATTGTGACATCTTGTGTTATCTTGCAAGATGTCACAATCGCTCTGTTGGCATCAAAGCACATATGCAAATAGATGATCATGTTATCAATAAAATTTTGAAAAAAAAAAAAGATGATCATGGGAAACCTAACCCTCCCTGCTGCCCATACAAGGAAGCAAAGGAGGAACTAGGAATGTCCACGAGGTCCACCCTCTCAGGAAACACCCACAGAGAAAAGGAGGGTGGTCAAGTAGAAATATGGAAGGGATGAAAGCTGCCAGCGAATAAATAGCCCACCGGCGACTCATAGTTCGACGAAGGCTGTTCTCCCTCTTCATGGTCAAGGAGGCTGCGTCCTCGGGGATTTCCTCTATGCTGGGTATCAGTCCATAGTCGTCGTCCTCTTCACTATCATCATTGACTAGGGAGACATATCAGAGATTAGGAAAACAGCACAGAGCACTCAGAGCCCTGTGAACAGGAAGAGAAAATCCTTCCCTGATCTGGTGGATTTTTTTTTTTATATTTATTTATTTATTATTTTATTTGAGAGAGAGAGAGAGAGAGGTGTGTGTGGCCAGCTCAGCCCACCAGGGGGCGGGGCTGGCTGGCATGTGGTGCTGGGGGATTGAACCGCAGTCCCTGATGCTTTGCCAAGCTAGTTCCAAGTAGGTGCTTTAGACCACTGAGCCATCTCTCCAGCCCGATCTGGTGGATTTTTGCAAGGTGTTCTAGATGTAGGTGACAAGACTTTATCCCACAAATACCAATTATTAGTATTCATTCTATTTTATTTCATTTCATTTTATTTTATTTTATGTGCAGTACTGCAGGCTGAATGTAGGGACTTGTATATGCTGAGCGAGTACCCTGACACTGAGCTACATCCCTAGCTCTTTCCGTATATACTCTTATTGAGAAATGCCACAATAAGGAGAGATGTGTTAATGTTCCACCAGAAGAGAAAAATGATTTTTAAAAAGAGAAAAAAAAATTTTAAACTTTTAGTTTTGTTTTTGTTCTTTTTTTTTAAAGCATGAAAGAACTTGGAAGGATTATGGTAGATAAACAGAAGTCACCAGTCCAAGAATTGACTAAAAACTGATTGTACAATGAAAATTTTCACCCTGAAGTTCACACATTTTAACAAACTTATTAATTTAGAGTATTAACCAAAAAACCCTACGCTAACAAGAAAATAAAATAAATGTAAAACACAGCATAAGGCTCAGTGGAATGGTAGAATAAAGGCCTCCAGAAATCTGCTCCTCCGAAAAGATTATGTAAGTATTAGCAAGCAAGCAAGAAGAAAGAAAGAAAAGCATCAAAATCAAGTCTTTCAGAACTCTGAAATCAAACAAAGGGTTGCAATAATCCAAAGGCTCATTTTTTTAGAGACTGAATCTGGGTAAGAACAGAGCACACTGCGGTAGCTGAACTTGCCCTATTTCCTCCCGCATTTCCTCAGGAGTGAGGGCTTAGAAAACCAACAACCATAAAATCATGGTAACCAAGCAAACTGCAGTCTGTCAGCTGCGTAAGGGGCAGGGTGGGTTCCAAATTCCAAAAGCGCCAGCCCAGGAGAATGGCCACTGTTTTCCCTGGACGGATTCCCTCAAAACGTCCACTCACAGAGCTCCTCTTTATTTGATCTCAGTCTGAGCAAGCCGAAACAATCTACAACAACTCTTTTAACTCCTATCAGCCTGAGGCTCTGACCTCACGGAAGCTCCTCCTGCTCAGGCTGCAAGGGTGCTCCTGCATCTGACTGACTGCTGAATGTCGCTCCCGGGCTTGCTCTCTCCATCCTGACCTACTGGAGATCACTGTATGAGGCCGATAAGGAGCACTGTGATGAGACCAGTACTGGCAGGTCCTTGGAAAAGGTCACGACAAATGGTGCCACCACTAAATGGAGTTAATCAGTGAACCCAGTGGTGACAATATCAGGGGCTGCTCCTATGACATACTCTGACACTATGCAGCTGTCATGATTTATTCTGGTTCATGCACCTAATAGTTTTTGGTGTTTTAGTCAAGATTCCTTTGTTAAAGTTTAATAAGAATTTAATACCATGAATACTGAGGCATAGTTTGGACCACAATAGGGACAGGAAACAGGCAATATCCCGGGCCCTTACCCACCAGCCTTTGGAGCACTATTTGTACTTCTGGGATAGTGAGGGACTTCAAAGCCATTGTTTTGCCATAAACAATGACTTTTCACTTAGGCCTACACACACACCATTGGTAACTAAAATCCTTTTTTTTTTTTACCTTAAAACTTTGGGTCAAATCCCCTCTCAGTTTTTCATACGGCTATATTAATCACTTGGAGAGTATCTGTCTAGGTGTTAATAAACTGAGGTGGATTAGTCCTAAATTTACAAGATCTTACCCTCTTCCACGTTCCAAAGGGATTTCCAGGGACATTCAACTATACCTCTAGCCATTGTCCTGAACCTACAGAAAGGCAGCACGTCACCTGAGTCCACCCCTTAGCCAAACAGATACCAGAGCCATGACACCAGAACTGAGACAATCAACCAAATCTCAGTCCACTACCTAATCCTTAAAGCTGGCCACTTATCTGTGGGGTGGGCCAGTCTGAGCCCATGTGACTATACCCTCTTCTGCCATGTAAGCTGGAGTCCTTCCCTATCTTCTCTCTACCTTCCCAGTTAAAGGTTTTTTCTCGTGCAGATTAGTGTTAATTTCCACTATTATTAAAAGCAAGGACCTAAGCTAACTGATGACAATACCAACTAGAAACTGGTTTCAATGAGTTTGCAGTAGTTGGAGTAGGATGTATTATTTGAATCAATGGGCGCTTAGCATTCACTGGTGGTCTTTAGGCAAGGGCTACTCACCTGAACTTTAGGTGGTCCCCTTCTAAAGGATGTTCTTTGGGTGTCAGAAAGAGATGAGCATGGGGAGATAACAGTTTGGCTACAATGTTTTGTTTCTTTACCCAGAACAGGGAAGAGCAGAATCTGAAATTTTGGGTAGTTCACTTCCAAATCTAGCTCATCAGATATTAAACAGACATGGATACTGGTCTACCATTCCAACCCAGGCCCCAAATTCTATAGTGTCCCAATGCTCTTTACATACCTGTGGCCTCCCCTTCAGAACTCGGATGCCTTGTGAATGTCTTCAGATTCTTAGCAAATACTCCTTTCTTGGCCAGCAGAGCACGGTAGGTTCCTTTCTCCACAACAGTGCCATTCCCCAGAACCACAATCTCATCCACTTGGGGAAGAAAGTGAATGCTATGTGTAACTAGCAGTCGAGTCTGCGAAAAGAACAAGTTGTGGTGTCTGCCTGTGTGCATCCTCTTCCCTGGACTACTCTGAAGAGGGCGACATGTGGATATCAACTCACAGTGAGGCTTTGCTTAAAATGTAGTCCTGGGGCTGGGGAGGTGGCTCAGTGGAATAAGTGCTTCCCTGGCAAGCACAAGGGCCTGAGTTCAATCCCCGGTTCCACAAAAAAAAAAAAAAAAGTAGTCCTGATCACTTGGCCTATTTTATGTCTTCTTTCCTTCTTTCCCAGCACCACATCCTAAAACCTGACTGACTTTGTGTGAAATGAGACTGTGAAGACCACGGATCTGCTCATATTTTCCTGTAGTGAAAATAAGATTTTCCTACACACATCCTTACTCCATGTCCTGGGACAGCAGAAGATTGAATTTAGGGGAGTCACCAGTGCCCATTATTATAACTGGTGCATTCAAAGCTAACTAATTGGCTAAAAATACTTGCCCCTTTCTAGTCCTTCTTTAACCAGCTAACCAACTGTACCAAAGAGCTTTTTATTTAGTATGTTAGAGACATTGTGGACAAGAACTTTAATCCAGTCCTCCTTAGTATCAGAGACTTCTTCCTTCATATTATTCAACTGACTACTGAGGCAGGAACCCCATCAGACAGAAAGACCAACATAGCTGTACAAAGAGGCTGACTGAGGCATCATGATATCACTAGTCTGGAGGCTCTCCAAAGCTCATTGTTCAAGAGCGTTTCTGACGCAGTCCTGCCACTGCCTTCTACCTAGAGGCTGGTGGATAGGGCTGGAAGCTCCATCCTTGGTGTGGGTGATCATTAGCCCCATAACAAAGCTAGTTCACTAGGGAGTTCACTAGGATGGACTCAGGCTGATCCGAGCGGCCAGTGGATAACAAAACACAATCCTAGTCCTCTTGAAACTCTGTGCCAGGAATGGAGACAAAGACCAAACATGTTTCTTATTGTATTCACAGGTCAGGGAATATTTTTATGAAAATCATTCTAAGAGGGCCAACGTTAAAACCACAAAATAAGGCTCACATTGGCCAGTTGCAGTATAAACCACAACCTGTGACAGAAGTCGTCCTGGGGTAGGTTCCCAGGAGATCAGTCAGGTGCTGCCTCTCCTCAGAGGCCAGGGAGCAAGCAAATGAGAAAATCTGCTTCAGAACAATGTGATTCCCATCCCCTTTCCCGCATATCTTTATCACTTTGAATGTGTTCTCACCTTGCCGTTTAACAGCCCATTGGGGCCCAAGATCTTATTGAAAATATGTTTTCCCACATGAGCATCCACAGCAGACAGAGGGTCGTCTAGAATATAGATGTCTGAGTCTTGATAAACAGCTCTAGCCAGGCTGATTCGCTGCTTCTGGCCACCACTGAGATTTATACCCTGAGGAGAAAATAATTTCTATCAAATACTACTCCCTAGTTGCACTTTACTGAGTCCAGTAAGGTATAAAAGGAAGAAATTTGCTGCCCTTCATCAAGGGTTTACCAATCTTACAAGTTTCTTTATGTAAATCAACAGCTTTGACTGAACTGAGTAACTTTAAACCAAATAATCAAAGGCAGGCCCAATGTAGCATTCTCTATCATATATTTATTTAATATTTGTGTGGCTTGCTACCAGGGGAAAGGTTTTTCCCATTTGGTTTATGGATATTAAACTAGCAGTTGCTCAGCAAATATAAGCTAAATTAATAGACAAACTCATCCGAGGCCTATGTGTATACTAGGCTAGCATCTGAAAATCACTGTCCTCCAAAAGAATTATTTTATTCATTTCTATCAATGAGAAGGAAAAATGAAAACATTCTACCTATGAAGTAAATTATGCTGTATCTATTCAACAGCTACAACATCAGCAAAATCTATTTTTACCAAAAAAAGCATTTAAAAACACAGATAAACCTTGGGCCTGTCACTACTAACATAGATGAAATAGGTGGCATAGTCTTTTATTAGCTTTGATTTAAATCAATAATTCCTATTTTTGCATCTAGGTATCAAGTTTAAAAATTCAGAGCATTTGCACAAAATGTTGAGGGCAGATAGTTTGAGCGCGTGTTTTCTGGTGGTTGTTTCAAACATGATTATCAAGATCGGTCAACTGGGGCCGGCAAGAGAGCTCAGCAGTCTAAAGCACCTGCTAAAGCAAGTTTAGGTAGCCACAGGGGACCAAGGTTCAATCCCTGGCACCACACGCTGTGCCAGCCCCACCCTCAGGGTGGGTTGAGCTGGCCAAAAAAAAAAAATCAGTCAACTATGCTCCTCCCATGCGTCTCTTCCATCACCCTCCCTTCTTTTCTTCAATATTTCTCCATCCTTCATGATCCCTTGCTATCTCAAGTACCTTCTCTCCAATTTCAGCCAGGTCTCCTCCAGGCAATATTTCCAAGTCTGGGAGGAGAGCACAGGCCTCCAGAATTTGCTGATACTTCTTTTCATTCAACTCTGATCCAAAAAGGATGTTGTCTTTTATGGTACCATTCTGAATCCAGGACTGCTGAGGGACATACGCGGTACTACCCTAGAGGAGAAAGGATCAGCCCAGGTGACAGCTGTACTTTCAGAAATGCGGCATTGAAGGATGCAGGGGCAGGAGTAACTAGGAAAAGAAAGAGCTTCGACTCAAAGACCTACGTGCCAGGCTGCCTGAACGTTTGATATTTATTAATGTGCTCGCATGGTACAGACCAAGCAGAAAGATTCAGTAGCTCACCACTCAGAATCCCTCCATGACTATCAATTTCTTGCCATAATCCTGGAAACTCAGAAGATTAATGCACATGCTTCTTCTAGATAAAGGCTTTAGGCAGACTCAATGATTTTCATAGGCCTAACACAGTACTAACACTTCTAGGAAATAGAACAGAGAACATTTTAGGAAGCAAAAATTAAGAGTGGACAAGCACACAAGAGAGTACAGGAGAAGACTGCATCCAAAGTGAAGTAGAGACTGATCAATGCCTGTGTTTGAGAAGGAACTCAATTCTGAATTGCTAATATAAAGCTTCAGGAGCAAGCTTTCTCATACTTAGCATTAAAACTTTTATATGAAGATGTTAAGAAAAAAGTTGAGGGCTGGCCAGATAGCTCAGCACAGTAAAGCGCCTGCTTAGGCAGGCACAGGGACCAGGTTGGATCCCCAGTGTGCCGTGCCAGCCCCAGCCCCAGGTACGCTGAGATGGCAACTGAGACTGGGCGTGGTGGCGCACGCCTGTAATCCCAGCGCTTGGGAGGCTGAAAACAGGAGGACCACTACCAGTCTGTGTAGTGAGACCCTGTAGGCCCTGTACTATAAAAAAAGAAAAAGAAATTTTTAAAAAAGTTAAAAATGTAGACTCTTTTTAGTGCAAGTAGCAGCTGATTTATTGATTCAAAAATGCCTCTAATTTCCCCTAACTTTAAGTTTCTGGGGAAGTTCAGAGTGTTCATAAATCTGCCTTTAAAATATTTCCCTCTATGTTAAAAAATTATGACAGATGAGGAAGTCAACACCTCATGCCAGGTTTCTGCATCAGAAGCAAATGTCATCAGAGATGTAGCTTGCAAAACAAGGAGGCCAGACGCCTAGAGTACTTGGAACTCTGGAGGAAAATGCCAGTGCTGATTTCACAAAGCTACTATATGCACTGTTCCAGTTTTGTTCCCATTCAGACTGGTTTTGGTGGTTATTTAATTTGTGTGTGTGCGCGTGTATTTGTGTTTTACAGGGGATTGAACTCAGGGCCTTTGCACTGAGGTACATCTCTAACCTTTTTTTTTT